CTGGCTGTGGGCTTGGGCGCCGCGCCGCGCCGCCGCAGCCCAAACTGCTCCCCCGCCTCCCGCAGCTCGGGCACTTCATTGCAGAAGTCGTACCTGCCGCCAGGGGGTGCAAGGCGGGGGTGCCAGACGGCGAGGGCAGGCTGGGTGGGGCAGGCAAGCATGCAGATGCAGCGGTGTGCGACCCCAGGCTCAAGCCTCCAGGCAATTCCCAACTCTGCACAGGCTGGTAACAGCGGCAGCACATCATTCCCAGCTGTCGCCAGGCTGTCAACGGCGGCGTGGGAACCCCCAACAGGCTCCCCAGCTGCACCAACTGCCCCGCAGCCGGCCAGGCAGCCCACCAGCGCGCCAGGTGCCCAAAGTTGCCCGTCCTCCGCAGCTTGTCCCACTGCAGCGTGAGCTGCAGCTGCGCCCAGCACGCCACGTCGGCCAGGCTCAGCGAGTAGCCAGCCAGGAAGGTGCGCAGGGACAAAAAGTCGTTGACAGAGGCGGCGGCGGCCTCAAAGCCCGCGCCGGGCAGGAGCGTCTGGGAGATGTCGAGCCACTGGTCGACCTGCATGCAGCAGGGTGGTGGAGGCCAAGGGCAGTGGTCAAAAACGCAGGCACTGGGGGCATGTGGCAGTCGAGCAGGCTGTGCAGTGTCAGGATGCACCGGCAGGCGGGCCCAGCAGTTTGTGGTGCCGCTCCGCAGGAGCGGCGGCAGCAGGCACGGCGTACAGGCGGTGCTGCCTGAGCTGCGCCTGCATGCCGCGCCTTCCCAGCACACTGCTCATCTGGAGCTGCTGCACTGCCGCCCGGTCTGCAGCGTGGTCCCCACCTGGCAGGCAGACAGAGGGTCTGAGCCATACAGGGCATCCTTTGACTGGGCGACGCGGCCGACGTAGCGCAGGATGCTGGGCACCCCCACCAGCTCGTCCCTGCATCGGCAACCGGGCGGTTCTTCAGTTCGAGAGCTTCCCAGAAGCACCCAATGCCCGTCCAGCCACAGCCAGAGCAAGCAGGGGGTGGATGGGGACCGGCGTGCATGGACCCCCATGCCGCGCACCCGCTGGCAAACTTGAGCGTGGAGGGGGTGTCCTTGGCGGCCTTGGCATCGGGCTTGGCCTCCAGGGCCACGCCTGCGAGCCGGGCGGCCGCCATCACCGCCAGTGGCGGCGACTTCTCGGGGAAGGCCAGCACAGGGGCTGCCATCGTGACAGGATAGCGACTGTCTGAATGGTGTGATCGCCATCAATGAGCTGCACAAGGCCTTTGCAAGGAGCCCAGCAGGACGCAGCAGCGAGGGGCTGATCCTGCATTCTGTGCGCCCATTGCGGAGTTTCACAATCGCAGGCTGCTCTCCCACTGTTTCTAGGCACGATCATGCTGCACAAAGCCGAGTCGGCGGCCAACCCGTGCCGCCCGATTGCAGATGGCGACCTGGTGATAGTCTATGAGGGATTTGACAGCATGAAGGCGGTGCGGGTCAGTGCCAACGGCAACTACAACAACAAATACGGCAGCTTTGCACACAAGGTGACTGGCGGGGAGCCCAGAGGAGGCTGCCCAGCTGCAGCGCCCCTGGGCGCGCCGTGATGCAGGCACTGGAGGCATGCAACATGCATGCAGCCGCTGTGGGCCGCCCAGCTGCCGGGGCGCTCGCCGCCGCCGCCGCTGCCGCCTGCTGCCTGCTGCCACTGCCTGACACTGCCGCGTCCTGGCGCCCTGCCCTCGCTCACCGCACCCACCCAAACCGCAGGAGTGGATCGGCAAGCCGTTTGGCAGCCGTGCGGTGTCGCGGAAGGGCAGCGGCTGGGTGCTGCTGCTGGCGCCCACGCCCGAGCTGTGGACGGCGGTGCTGCGCCACCGCACCCAGATCCTGTATGCCGCCGACATTGCCATGGTGGTGGCCTTCCTGGAGCTGCGCCCCGGTGCGGTGGTGCTGGAGAGTGGCACGGGCAGCGGCAGCCTGACGACGTCGCTGGCGCGCGCCGTGGCGCCGCACGGCAAGGTGTGGACCTTCGAGTTCCATGAGCAACGGGCGCAGCTGGCGGCAGAAGGTGAGCAGGTGTCGGCGGGGGTGGCTTGCTGGAGAGGCGATTGCTGTGCAGTCGGCGAGGCTGGGTGGGAGGCGGGCCATTGTGGGGCGGAATTAGATGTGCCTGGCTGGGTACGGGTATCCCGTGGCAGCCGCTGCGCTCGCCACTTGCTCCTCACCTGGTCCTTGCCTGCCTGCCCACCTGCCTGCCTGCCTGCCCTCTCCTTCCCAGAATTCAAGGCCAATGGCCTGGGGGAGCTGGTCACGGTGGCGCAGCGCGACATCGAGGCCAGCGGGTTCCCCGAAGAGCTGCACGGCCAGGCAGACGCACTGTTTCTGGACCTGCCCAAACCATACATGGTGCGCGGTATGGGCTGAGCTGCCGGTGTGTGTGTGTGGCGGTCGACCGTGGGACCTGGCGGTGGCGGCTGCGGCTGCGGCGAGCGGCGTAGCGTGGCGAGCTGTGCTAGGGCCGCGGCCCGCCATCGCTGCCCGTCCGCTGCCACCGCCGCTGCTGCCTTTCTCACTGCGCTGACCTGCCGCCCCGCTTTCCCGGCCTTGGCGTCGCCGCAGGTGGTGCCCTCCGCGGCGCGCTGCGTGCGCCCCGACGGCATGTTTTGCTCCTTCAGCCCCTGCATCGAGCAGGTGCAGCGCACGTGCCAGGAGCTGAACGCGCACGGCTTCCGCGACATGCGGACCATGGAGGTCCTGCTGCGCCAGCTGGAGGTCAGCCGCCAGGCGCTGGCCACAGACTTGGAGTCTTCCATGGCGCCGCCGCAGAGCAAGAAGCAGGCGCGGAGGCAGGAGGCCGCAGGGAACGCCGGCGGCGGCGGCGGCGGCAACGGCCCCAAGCGGCAGAAGGCTGCCGACGGCTCGGCGGTGGCGGTGGCGGCGGCGGAGGGTGGGGAGGGAGAGAGCGCAGCAGCAAGCGGTGGAGCAGCGGCAGCAGCAGGAGGAGCGGAGGAAGGAGCGGGAGGGGAGCAGCAGCAGCAGCAGGCGCAGGCGCAGCCGCCGCAACGGCAGGTTGTGGCCAAGCCGGTGCCGTTTGGGCGCGGGCACACGGGGTATCTGACGTTTGCGCGGCGCGTGGTGGAGTTCTCGTGATGCTGCTGGTGCCCTGCCTTCTTGCATACCGTAGCGTGGGTGGGGCACTGTGCAGAAACCATGATGCCTCTCTCGAAACGGCTGTAATGAAGCAGTTGCAATGATTTTCGATAACTTCGATAACTAAACAGATCCAGTGCAGGGTGCCACCATGGAATTGTGTTCACCTTCGCCGCTTCCCCCGCTGCTGCTTCCCCTGGCCCTGCCCTCGGTCCTGCTGCTTGGGAGCGGCAGCGGGGCCAGCTGCTCCAGCGGCAGGTTCAGCGCTCCCGAGCGGCGCCAGCCAGTCCTCCCAGCTCTTGGGCGCCTGCTGCTGCTGCTGCTGCTCTGCCACCCTTGCCGCTGCAGCTGCAGCTGGCTTCTTGCGCTTGCGCACTGTGCCTGCCAGCGCCAGCGGTGCAGCAGCAACGGGTGCAGTCGCAGCCTGCGGCTCAAAAGGCATGCGTCCAGTATCGCGGGGCGGACCTGCGGTTGCTGCGGTGGGCTGTGGTGGTGGGGCTGCTGCTGCCGCTTGAGGTGCTGGTGCTGCCACAGACAAAAACACAGGCTTGGGCGCCGGAACGGCCACGGAAAGGAACGCTGGCTTGGGCGGTGGCTTGGCCAATGAAGCTCCCACAGCAACAAAGGCAGGCTTGGGCACAGGCCGTTCTGCTGCTCCTGCGCCTGCTGCAGTGTGCGGGGCGGCTGCCCTGGCAGCGCCTGGCGCTGGTTTTCCTCCTGCTGCAGGGCGCACAGCTGCTGCGGCTGGCGCTGGCGCTGCTGCCGCGCTTGTCACCGGTTTGCTGGGTGGCTCGCCTTGCTGCTGCCGCTGGCGCTTGGCCTGCCCCAGGCCCAGGCCCGCTGCCGCACGGTGGTACAGGTGACCCCTGGCCTCCCCCTCCATCAAAGAGGCCACCACACCAGAGGCATCCTCCTCTGGCATGCTTTCCTCCACCACACCCAGCAGCAGCCCCGGGGCGGCAACAGCAGGCTCTGTTGCATCCGCCTCCTCTGCTCCCAAGCTTGCCTCAACCTCTGCTGCATCGCCTGCCACGCCAGCTGCCGCCGCCGCCACGGCAAAGGTGTCCCGGCAGATGGGCACACCTCGGTCCTCCACCACCGCCAGTGCCGGCGCAGGCGGCTTGCCGCCACGGCCCCTCCTTCCCTGCTGCTGCCGCAATGGTGCAGCGTCCTCCACCGTCGCCGTCTCTGGCTGCGCCAGGTGAAGACCATACCGGATGCAAGCTGCCGCCGCCTGGGCCGCCAAGCTCTCCCCCTCGGGGCATGGCACCGCCTCCAGCTGCGGCAGGCCGCCGCGCCACTGCGCTCGCAGCAGCTGCGGCAGCGGCTGCTCTTCCAGCCATGCTGGTGGTGCAGCGCAGGCGCCAGCTGCGGCTCCGTCTGCTGCTGCTGCTGCTGCTCCTGCTGCTGCTCCTCCTGCTGCTGCTGGGCCCATGGGTAGCAGCGCCGCCGCCTCTGCAAGCGCATTGTAAGCCATGACAGCATCCAGCAGCAGCTGCCCCGTCAGCACCTGCAGGCAGCGGTGGGAGGGCAAGGTGTGCTCAGTGGACGTAGTTGGTCTGGGCACTGAGTTGCGGAGGTTCACGGTGCGACTTTCAGCAGCACAGGCAGGCATGAGGGCTGGGCTGCCTGCCCCCCACACGACAGCAGGCCAGGCAGCGGGCTCACCTGGATGCGTGCCACGCATGCCAGGCTGGTGAGGCAGAGGGGCATGAAGAAGGAGTGGGCCAGCTGGGCGAGCAGGTGCAGCGAGGCGCGGTGCACCGCTGGCGCCAGCTGCTCCACCAGCTGGCAGGCCGCACGCAGCGCACGCAGCAGCGACGTCGCCGCGCCGTGGCTGGGCACGCGCCGCTGGTCGGCCCTGCAGCAAGCAGGCCATGATAGGGGCGGCAGCAGCACATTGGTGGAGAGGCGAGTACAGTCAGTGTGGAGGTAGAGGGTGTGACGAGGGCAGCAGCATGGCATTGGCTGCTGATCTGCTGTTTTATCACTGTTGGCCCAGCACAGCATGCCCCAGCCCTCTCCTCCACCCACCCATATGCCATCAGCACGCTGCCAGTGGGCAGCTTGCCGCGCTGCCTGGCGGCCTGGAAGGCGGCGTGGAAGGCAGCGGCGCGCCGCTCCAGCTGCATGCCCTTCAGCAGACTCAGCAGGCGGCGGATCTGCAACAGGCAGGTCCGGAGGGATAAGGAAGGAGGCCTGCTGCGCACTTGACTGCTGGCAGAGTGCACAGCCGCGGCAGTGGCAGCAGCTGGCGGCTGGCGGCGCCACACCTCCTGGAGGCGCTGGAAGTGCTGCGCGCCGCGGTGCTGGTGGGAGTTCTTATACAGCAGCTTTCCGAGCAGCTGGAGCTCCTGCCAGAGGTCGGTCCGGGCCAGGGCGCCCTGCAAAGTGGCGGCAGCAGAGTCAGGGTGCCATGCCAGCCGAGGAGCATCGCGGGCATATGCATCGCAATCCACTCACCTCTAGGTGCCCCGTGGTGACGCCCGCAACCGCCACCGCCCACTCTGGCGACGCTATGCACTCCAGCAGCTCAAGGGGCGTGCCTGGAGCGGCCATGGCGGCTTCCGATCGCACATTACAGTCGAGCATGAATGCGGGAGGCTAATGCACGAGCCTGAGAGCCCCTCCGTGAAATGCCTAGCTGGCACATGCCTCTGCCGACAGCTCTTGAAGGCCAGGCATCCTTCTGCCCTCCAGTCCGGCCCCTCATGTGAACAGCATCCCAGGCAACTGCCAGCCAGCGGCGCAGCAGGGTAAGTCACACATTCAGTTGCAGCAGAGTGGCAATGCGGGCGGAGGTCCAGCGCCACGCCCCTCGATGACACTGACACCCCAGCTGTCAGACAAGGAGAACTTGGGGCCGCCCCGGGCGGGCGCTAGCAAGTCGCACCTCACCCTTCAGCGACAGCCAGTCGCAGCCGGCAACAGAGGCAGCCTGAGCAGGCCGGCGCTCGCGCGGGTGGACAACACGCCCGTTAGATCAGGCATGGAGCCGGCCAGCGGTGGCACGGCCTCCAAGCCGGGCACCGCCGCCAAAGCAAGCGGGCGGGGAGACGCCGACGGCTCAGGTGCGGCCCTGCTGGCGTGGCCAGCCTCCGTCGATTGGCCCTGCTGTCAATTTGCCTGCATCAAGACGTCTCGGGTTCTCACAGCGGTGTGCCAACCTGCCCCCTGCAGCTGCGACAGGCCAGCTGGGATCGCCAGCTGGATGCATACACGCGCCCGCAGGGCGGCAGCCCTTCAGCGCAGCGCTCGCTGCGCGCTCGCCTCGTGGAGGCCGTCAAGGCTGCCCACCAGTCGCCAGAGGCCTGGTGGACGCTGCTGCAGCAGGAGGAGGGGTGGGCGGCGGCCGCGGGGGCCACCGCCAGCCTGGAGCGCGGTGCGGCGGCGCGCGGCGGCGTCAGCCTCGCCGACCTCTACGCCGCAGCCACCAAGGTCGTGCCTCGCCAGAACAACTACAGCAACGACGCCTTCATCAAGATCTGGCTGGGCTTTGCGCGGCAGCAGTGGTGCGATGTCTTTACTGCCTGGGGAGGGCAGGCGGGCTACCGTCCAGTGATGTCGGCGTGGAGGCAGCCGACCCAGGGGATGACTCCCAATGCTGTCAGACCCGCCGCCGAGCACGCACCGCTGCCCTGTGAGCCTGCGGCCTGCCCTTGCCCAACCTCTCCTTCTGCCTGCCGCAGGGCCCGCAACCCAGACGATGCTCGAGATGTGTTTAAGATGCTGAAGAGCCAGCACATTGGCGACCAGCATGCGGCTCTGTACTACGAGTGGGCGGCGCTGGAGGCGGCGGGCGGCAATGAGGTCAAGGCGCTGGGGGTGCTGGGCAAGGGGATGAAGGAGCAGGCGCAGCCCGCCTGGTGCGTACGGGCGCCAGCCTGCCCGCCTGCTCTGCTGCGGCAGGCTGCGCACGGGCTGTGCATGCTCGCTGCTTTGTGTATCAAACCCTATCGAGTGATGCACGCCAGCAGTCGTGGCTGGGGGTGGCGGTGACCTGTGCAACTGCTGCCGCAGGGTCCTGCTCTCACTCCATTCCCGCCTCCCTCTGCCCGCTTTCCACCCGCCGCAGCCTGCTGGAGCAGATGCAGAGCGACCTGCAGGCTGGGCGGTTTGCGTACAGGGCTCCCTGGGCGCAGGACGGCGGCGCCAAGACGGGCCACTCTGGCGCCTCCAGCCTGGCCGCCTTCCTGACCCCTGGCGTGCCGGATGAGCGGCGCAGCGCCGCCACTCCCACCGTGGTGAGCCTGCTGGGCCTGCTGGGTGTCGGGCCAGCGGTTGAGGCAGAGAAGCAGCGCGGTGGTTGCAGCTACACCCGAGACGGCTGTTTGCTGGCATGGGGACTCAGGCCTGGTGCGACCAATTCTGCCTGGCTACCCTGCAGGAGCTTGCTGGCGGCGGCGGGGCCACCGACACTCTGGTCATCAACCGGCCCAGCGCCCGGCTGGGCGGCAGCCTGCCGCCGCGCGACTCTGGCAAGGCTGCTGCGGCTGCGGGGGGCGCTGACACAGACACTATAGCGCTGGGCGGCGGTGGAGGGGCCAGCAAGGTGGCGGCACCGCCGGCGCCGGCGCCCAGCGCCAGCCAGCAGCAGCTGACGGCGGGCCTGACGGAGCAGCTGCAGGGCGGGCGCACCAGCCACACCATCCACAGCGGCTCCACGGTGGGCAGTGATGACCCCACCGCCCCCATGAAGACACCAGCCACCGGCCTCAGCAACCGCACCGCCAGCAGCACGGGCAGCCTGGGCGAGGAGGCGACCGTGTCGCTGCGCAAGCCCGGCGGCGGCGGCCGGACCAGCGGCGAGGGCGCCGCGCCAGGCGGCGCCTTGGGCGGTGAGCTGGCCGTGACCGCCGCCATGGCAGGCTGCCAGTCTGCCATGCACCGTCCTGCCCGCTGTGCTGTGCTTGCGCTGCGAGCCTCAGCCTCCTTTCCCTGACCCTTGCCCGCACGCCCCGTTTTGCAGACCAGCAGCAGCACCAGCAGCGTGGCGACGACACTCTCGTCATCAACCGCGGCTCCCTGCTGAAGACCGCGCTGAGCGGGGCGGCCGCTGCAGCGCGGGACGGCGGCACGACAGTGCCCAGGGACCACAGCCAGCAGGGGCTGCTCAAGCCGCGTCGGCTGGGGGTGCTGGGGAAGGCGCAGCGAGTGGTGGCCGGCTCGGGTGGCCGGCCGCCGCTGGCGCCTGCGCCTGGGGAGGCGTCCGAGGATGCTGCTGCCATGGCAGCTGCTGCTGCCGCGGCGGCAGAGGCTAACCGCAAGCGTAAGGCTGAGATGGAGGCCCAGCAGTCGCCCAAGCCGCTGCTGAGCGTGGGGGAGGCCAAGCGGCGGCAGTCGCCTGTCGCCGAAGAGGTGAGTCGGCCGCGCTTGCGGGCGACACCGAGAGGCGTGCAGCGGACCTCTTTACTGCCTGCTGGGAAAGTGCTGCGACCAGGCTGACAGCGTTGGTGGCGCAAAGCTGCTCCTTGCAGGTCAAGCCCAGCCGGCCCGTTGCGGCAGAGCGCCAGCTGCCGCCGGTTCCCCGCTTTGACGGGCAGCCTGCTGCACCCGCCGCCTCATCAGGCGCCGCCAGGACGGTGGCGGCTGAGGTGGTCAGCACAGCGGCGCCTGGCCGCCTGCTGCCGCCCGCTGCCGGCCTGCCTGCCGGCTGTGCACAGCTGGCTGCGTTAGCTGGTGGCACACGGCCGCCTGCTGCAGTGCCTGCCGCCCGGCAGCAGGTGGTGCTTCGCGAGGGCGCAAGCAGCCGGGGCGGCAAGGAGGAGGGTGGCGAGGAGGATGAGACTGCTCCTGTGGTGATGAGCAAGCTGGCGCAGCGGGTGCAGCGCGGGCGGCAGAGCCTGGCGCCCAGCAAGGTGCTTCGCCACTGCCCTCCTCCACCCTGCCTGCTGCCGTCCTCGTGCCCGCCCTCGCCGCTCCGCGCCATCTTTGCGCATGACGTGCATTAGAGTACAGCATCGGCCAACCCTCAAGCCAGCCTCCTCCTTCCACGGCGCAGATTGTGCTGGGCGGCGATGGCAGCCTGCTGCACCGCAGCGGCGCGGCAGCGGGCACCCCTGGGGCAGACGAGGACGACGACGATGCGCCCACCATGCCCGTCAGCCGCCCCGCCACCTCAGCAGCCCCGCCCTCGGCGGCAGAGGAGGATGCCGACGCGACGCGCCCTCTTGTGCGCGCCCTCGTACCCTCCGGCAGCAGCGCCAGGGCAGCCTCGCCGCCGCGCCAGCGGCCTGTCGGGCCCAGGGTGCAGATCGACGGCGCGGGCAACGTGGCAGTCGTGCGGCCCTCGTCGGCGGGTGCCAGGCCGCTGCCCGTGCCGCCGCCGCCGCCGCCCTCTCTTTCAGAGTCTGGCCGGGTGCCGATGGGCCCGCCGCCGCCCAAGCAGAACAGGCAAGCAAGCAGCAGAGGGAGGGGGCTTGCTGGGAATCAGGCGCCATGGCTGGCGCACTCGCCTCCAAACCCCGGCTTGCCTCTTGAGCCTGCTCACGTGTGTACGATGCGACTGCAGGGTTGGCGCCATGGCAGCGCCGGCACCTGTGCAGCAGCCCGCGGCGCGGCCGGGGCGGCGGGTGGTGGAGGACGAGAACACGGTCACAGTCAAGGTGTGCTACAGAAGCCGTGGTGGGAAGCTGCATACACACTAGCTCCTCGCTCAGGCCTCTCCGCACATTCTGGGTTGCTGACAGGCCGCTGCTGTGGAATGGTGTGGCATGGCATGTCTCCCTGCCAGCCCGCCCCGCTGTTCTCGTTCCCACCCTTGCCGCCTGCCCCCCGCCTGCCTGCCCCCGCCGCAGGACATTGTGTACACCAAGCTGGAGTGTGTGGGGCGCGGCGGCAGCTCCAAGGTGTACAAGGTCATGGCGCCCAACCGCAAGATCTTCGCCCTCAAGCGCATCCGCCTGCAGGTGGGGCTCAGGTCTGGGGTACATAAGTTGGTGCAGGGGAGGCACACGGCTGGCGCAGCGGAACGTGGCTGGTGGTGCGCCCCTGGGGTGCACAGCTGTGTTGGGGCTTGTCTTGCGGTGCCGCACAACAGCGCACGTAACCAGCCCGGGCTGTTGTTTCTTGTGCTTTCGTTTGCACCGCCTGCAGGGCCGCGACGCCGAGGCTGCCAGCGGGTTCCTGGACGAGATCAAGCTGCTCAACAGCCTGGCCGGCAAGTCCAACATCATCCAGCTCATAGACTCAGAGGTGTGTAGCTGTGTGTTACTGTGTGAGGGAGGTCGCTGAGGCTGCCGGGCGGGTACACCTGGGCAGGCGCCGACAATGAGGGATGCCTCCCGGCTGGCTCCCAAGGGTCGCGACTGGCCCCCCCACCGCCGTGGCACTTCCCCCGCTGTCTGTGCAGGTGCACCGCAGCGAGGGCCTCATCTACATGGTGCTGGAGTTTGGGGACATCGACCTGGCCCGCCTGCTGCAGGTGCGTGGGTGTGTGTGTGGTGGCGGCTGGGGGGGGTGATGAGGCTCCAGGGCTGCGGGGACGGTGGTACTGCGGGGAGGCGGGCAGGCACCTGCTCCATGGTGACGTTGTCACGCCCTCAGTCCTGCCCCCTCCCCGCGCCCTGTCCTGAGCGCAGAAGCACGAGAAGACGCGGCGTGAGCGGGAGCAGGGAGGCTCAGCGGAGGGCATCGACGAGAACTTCATCCGTCTCTACTGGGAGCAGATGCTGCAGGTGTGCCTGCGGGCATGTGCGTGTGGTGTGTGTGCGGCCAGCGGGTTGGTACCGGACAGTCAGCATTGGTGGTTGAAAGAGCAGCGGACCATGGCTGGCTGCTGGAGGCATGGCATGGCAGGTCAGGGTGGATTCCACAGCCCGCCCCGCGCCCGCCCTTCAGGCTGTGGACACCATCCACCGCGAGCGCATCGTGCACAGCGACCTCAAGCCCGCCAACTTCCTGGTGGTGGAGGGGCAGCTGAAGCTGATCGACTTTGGCATCGCCAAGGCCATCCAGTCGGGTGCGCTGTGCGCGCTGTGCGTGCTGTGTGCACTGTGTGCGGGGCTGAAAGATCGAGTGCGCGGCTGAAGGGGGCTGGTTGCCCCAAAAAGCTGCTGGGCTGGCTGGGGCGGCACACGCCTGCATCTCTCCGCCGTGTTCGCCTCCTATGTCTGCCCGCCCCTCCATGCCTGTCGTCCACTCTTTACCCTTGGGCCCTCACCCCCACCTGTCCCTGCTCCCTCTCCTCCTCACAACACGCGCACCGCAGACACCACGTCCATTGCGCGGGAGAGCCAGGTTGGCACCCTCAATTACATGTCCCCCGAGGCCATCCTGGGCGGGCAGAACAACATCCGGGGTGGGCCGCCCATGAAGGTGGGGCGCGCCTCCGACATCTGGTCTCTGGGATGCATCCTGTACCAGATGGTGTACGGCCAGACGCCCTTCAGGTGGGACCATGTGTGTGGGCTGGTGGGTGGGGTGGTGGGGCGCATGCGTGGCGGTGGTGGTGGTCGCGATGGTGTGGGGTGTCTTTCTGTATATGTGCAAACATGGCGGTGAGGTAGCATGGAGGGGAGCAGGCTCTTGCTCCCGAGGGCAACGGTCAGGCCGGATGCCAGACGTTTGAGGCATCGAGGGGCATTCCCAACTCCTCCACCACCCACCACCACCACCACACACTACACGCATGCACACTCAGTACTCACACACAGCTGCCCCCCACGCCCACCCGCAGCCACCTGCCCTTCATCCAGAAGATGCACGCCATCATCGACCCCGGCCACCGCATCTCCTTCCCGCCCCTGCGCAACGCGCCGCTGCTGGACGTCATCCAGCGCTGCCTGGACAGAGACCCCTGCACCCGCATCGCCATGCAGGTGGGCAGGGGTGGAGGGCTTGGCCATGGCTGGCTGGTCGGTCGCTGCATGGCTGGATGCCTGGCTTGGAGGGCTGGGAGTTGGAGGGCTGCATCTGCCCTGGCCAACCCCGAGTTGTGGGTCTCTCTCTCACCAGGCCGGCTGCACTGCCGCGCTGCTCTGAGCAGCACATCCCACGCAAGTGGTAGTACCAAAGTGCTGCCCGTGCCCGCCCGCCTCCCCTCCCCCTGCAGGAGCTGCTTGAGCACCCCTTCCTGCGCCCCACCCAGGCGCTGGCGCCTGCTGCCATCGCCAAGTCGGGGTCAGTGGAGATGAGCCGTGAGCAGCTGACCAAGCTGCTGCGGCAGGTGGGGGTGTCGGGCACCGAGGTGGGCCAGCTGTCGGACCAGCTGTTCCAGCAGCTGTCCAGCGGGCTCAGCCCAGACCTGGTCAGCCGCAGGGCGGCAGCCATGGCAGAGGCGAGGAGCAGCGCGACGGCGGCGGCGGCCATGCCGCCGCCCCAGCGCAGGCCGGCTGCGCAGCAGCAGCAGCAGCAGCAGCAGCAGGTTTCTCTCGCGGATGCCGCTGCTGCAGCGGCAACGGCGCGGGCGGGCCAGCGGGCCGACGCCGTGGCGGCGCTGGAGAGCCGGCCTCGGGCTGCGGCTGGCGGCAGCGGCCGGGCGGCGCTCATGCCCATCAGCCAGCTGGCCATAGCACGCCAGGCAGCCTCCCTGCCCAAGGTTGACCCTGCCGCCAAGCAGGCACCGGCGCAGCAGCCGGAGAGCGGGCTGGAGGCGGCGCTACGCAAGGGTGAGGGCAGAGTCTGTGGCAAGGCAGGAGGGCCTGCATAGCACCTGATGCCTCCCAACCTCCACCCAGCCACCGACACACCCCTCCCTCCCACATGCTGCAGGCCTGGAGCGGTTCAAATTTGAGGATGCCTCTGGCGGAGACGATGGCGGCAACGCCGCGGGCGGCTCCAGCGACCTCTGAGCTCGCAGCTGGCCCTCTGGCTGCAGCACGCCGGCGCCGGGGCAGGCGGTCGGCGGTGCCGCCTGGAGCGCGCATGGCAGGGATTTTGTTTCAATCCCCATGTATGTACCAGAAGTTCGAGTGGGCAGGAAGATGTAACATACAAGCAGAGAGAGGGCAGTGTATGGCTGCAGAACAGACTGCGGATGGTCATCACTCTCCGCGGCGGCTGGGACGGTGTGCTGTGCCTGCTGCCTACCATTGACTTGCGTCATACGGGTCGTGCCGCGTGCCGGGTGCTACGGTATGCATCCTCGAGCGGCATAGACTCATCTAGACATTTCCACGGGCCGGTGGCCGGCTCCCGAACGAAAACCGCCGCAGGATGGCGGACTTTGTGGCCAGCAAGTGGCGCGCCTTCATAGACTCCTGCCGCTCGCCGGTGGTGCGGTATGAGAAGGTCATCCCGCGCCGGCAGGAGCCGACCGAAGTGTTTGTTGCCGCCGCCTCCTGGCGCGGCCCGCTCTTCCGCCGGCCCTCAACGCTAACACATCCTACCTTCCTTGCGGCGTGCAGTTTGGGGAGGGCGGCGACGTGGAGCCCAGCCACAAGAAGCTGTATGCCGCGCTGGCGGCAGAGTTCCTGGGCATGCTGCTGTTCGCGCTTTATGGCGGCGAGGCGCGCGACTCTGCCGCTGCCTATGGCAACGGCCTGGCGCTGGCGGTGCTTGTGTACGCCACTGCCAACGTGAGCGGCGGCCACCTGAACCCCGCCGTCACGCTGGGCACCATCATCAGCGGGCACATGGGCTGGCGTCGCGGCCTGCTCTACATGGCGGCGCAGTTCCTGGGCGGCATTGTGGGTGAGCGGGGCAGCGTTGGCGCCAGCTGGGAGGCGGGCTGGCTAGCCAGGCGCGCTTACAAGGGTTGGTCAGGCAGCAGCGGCGGTGGCGGTCAGCTGGGGGGGGAGTCCCCGCTGCATGCAGCGCGCCGCCTGCGCCTGCCTCATGCCCGCGCCTGCCGCCGCTTCTCCGCAGGCGTGCTGTTCCAGGTGGCGCTGATCCCTGAGGCCAGCGTGGCGATGGGCAACGAGGGCCCGGTGGGTGCTGGCAGCCAGGCTGGAACCGCCCCCAGCCTGCACGATGCCTGCCCCAGCGGCAACGCTGCTGTGCGCACACCTGGGTTGAGTCGCAGCAAACCCAGCTTCCCCAACCGACTTAACTGTCTCTAAGTAAGCTGGCCCTGTTGCTGCTTGCCCCACCCCAGGGCTGCTTCACGCACCTGGGCGGCCACTACATCCGAGTGGACCAGCTGTTTGGCTGGGAGCTGCTCATGACCTTACTGCTGGTGTCGGTCGTCTATGCAGTGGCCATCTCCAAGCCGGGCCACGGCAACATCGGGCCGCTGGCGGTGGTGAGTGGGCCTGCCGGGGAGCGGGAGGGCTAAGCGTAGAGGCAGGGTAGCCAGGTGGCAGCCTGCACCGCACAGCGTGGACCACAGCATGCCCAGCACGCACACTGGTTTTCCTTCCCGTGGCACACATCCCTGCACTGCTGAAATCGACGCAAAACAACGTGCACCTCTCCATCTGCCCACCCCCCCACCACCCCAGGGCTACACCCTGTTTGCCAGCGCCTTCATCGGCGGCCCGCTGACGGGGGCGGCCCTCAACCCGGCCCGCGTGCTGGGCCCCGCCCTCATCTACAACTGCTACTGGTCAGCGCAGTACCGCTGCCTGCCTGCCTGCCTGACGGAGAGCGCATGCATGAGCCGCCTGTTGAGAACGCATCGGCTGCCGGTGCATTATCATCGCCTGCTCATACGAGCGCTTCCCGCCGGCATGCAGGAACACGGCCTTTGTTTACATCATCGCCCAGTACCTGGGCGGCGCCGTGGCGGCGCTGCTGGCCCTGGTGCTGTACGGCCCGGGGCCGGAGCACGGCGGCGAGCACGAGGTGGAGGCGGCGTTGGCAGGCATTGCGGTGGCGCCGGCAGCGGGGGCCAATGGGGCCACCAAGGGCGAGCGCGCGGGCCTCATCGCCATGTCAGCAAACGCCTCCAGCAGTGCGGCGCAGCCGGGGCGCTGGGAGGCGCGCTACTGAGGCGCGGGGTGCTGGCCAGCCGGGGGCAGCTGGGACCAGGTGGGGTTACTGTGGCTAAGCCATTTTGCTTGGTATGACAGTTCACCTTGAGATGCAACTCGTGCCTCTGATTGACACTATATGTATGTATTGACATAAGTATAATCGCTCTGACATGCGGAATGAAACAATGAAAGGGAGAGGACCACGCAAAGGGCTGCATGAAAGCGGAAGCCGGCGCCGCACTGGACAGCGTGCCAGCGTGTCGGATGCTACCGCGACATGCCTGGCATGGGCTGCACGCCGGCCGTCGCCGGCGCCACGGCAGCCGGCTGCCCCCCGGCGGCGTGGTGCCCGTTTGGCTGCAGCTGCTGCTGCTGCTGTTGCTGCTGCGCCGGCTGCTCGGCCAGTGGTGAGGCCGGCTCGCCGCTCAGCTTCTGCAGCAGGCGGTGCTGGTGCCGCGCGGAGGCTGCCACGAGGCCGGTGTCTATGGCGCGCTGCACGTCTGGCTGGTGCCGCACCATGCTGAGCGCCGCCGTCTTCATGCCCAGGCAGAAGCTGTGCAGCGGCAGCACCCGTACCGGGTTCTCGATCTGGATGCCGATGTTCTCAATGCCCAGCAGCTGCGCCAGGAGCAGGGGCAGGAGTAGGGGCAGGGGCTCGGGAGCAGCAGGCGAGCGCGGGAGATTTCAAGGAAGGGCTGGGGGTTGTGGCTGCCGGCTAGGTGCTGACGAAGCCAGCTGCTGAGCCTGCCGTGATGCCGCCCGCCGCGCCGATCTCACCAGGAAAGTGAGCACCACCATGGTGGGCAGCAGCAGCCACTCCAGGTACGACCAGAGGGCAAAGGGTAAAAAAGTGATGTAGCAGATGATAAAGCGGGACGTGTGGCTGCAGGGCAGGGAGAGGGACGCAGTTGGAGTGCGATGTGCAAGTCAGCACGGAAGGAAGGCGCAGCACAACGGTAGCTTGGCCTGAGCCAAGCGGGGAGGCAACACCCGCCAGGAGGCGCACCGCGTGTAGGCTTTGGGGACGGCCTGCCGCGAGATGCGCTCCAGAGCGCCCAGCGCGATGTCAAAGTCGGACAGCTGCCGCTCGATCTCCGCCCGCTCCCACACCAACAGGCCCGTCCTGCGCCATGCATCCGCGGGCGGCCAGCGCGGGCGGCCAGCGCGCGCGCAGGGCAGCGGCTTGAGCACAACGGCTGGCCGGCTGGCTGGCTGGCTGGCTGGCCGGATCCTGCCGTGACTCACCCCAGCATGCACCCCAACCACAGCGGCAGGCATGTCGCCGGCACAGCGTGCCGCCGTCGCCACCCGCGCCCACCTCTTCAGCAGCCCTGACATGATCATCAGCACCTTGACCGGCGCGTTGTCGCACCGCATCAGCCAGGCCAGCTCTGCCGGCTGCAGCAGGCCCTCCATGTGCTGCCAGTAGCAGTCCTTGCGGCGCAGGTAGGCGCAGGCGGAGGTGGCCAGCGCGGCGTTCCAGCGCGCAAACTCGTGCACCACAGGCGCCTCCGAGGGGTCCGCCCAGCTGAGGAGCATGCGCTGCGCATTGCGAACGCAGTTGAGCCAGCGCCCAAAGGCCTGCCGGGCCTGCACCCCAGGCAGGTGACGCGGCAGGGGTTGGTCACGAGCCAGCGGCACACTCCAGGCCGGGTCAACTGCTGCCAGGGCCAGGCAAGCATTGCTGGGTCGCGCGCTGCTGGCTGGCCCCCAAGCCTGCTTGCCCCTGCCCCACCACACCAACGCGCCGCCGCACCTCCCACCACCGGCTGTGCGCGGTGTTGGTGCGAAACACCAGCAGCAGGGCCACGGCAAAGGAGGTGAGCTGGAAGACAATCATGTAGTCGCCGCTCACAGCCACCGGCCACCCCGGCTTGGGCTGCAGGTAGGTGGCATACAGGGCCACAACCAGGCTGACCTGCAGGGCCCATGGCGAGACCAGCATGGCGGGGCAGGGCGCCAGGGGTCGGGCTTCCTGGCCCAGACAGTGGAGGGGTGGTGCGTGTGGCAGCACCAAGGTGCGCTCTGTGGTGCGCCCCACAGCCCGGTGCACTGCAGCGCGTGCGCTGTCTCCCCCCAGGCACCACCAAGGCCATTGTCCGTACACACCCACACACATGGGTAAGCAGCCGTCGGCCTCAACTCACAAACAGCGACCATGCCTCGATGATGGAAAGCATGCGGAAGACGCGCAGGCAGATGCGGGGCTCGGGGCAGTGCCGCCACCACCCCGCGTGCCGCTCCCAGTCGGCCGGGCTGAAGGGCTCGTCCTGCAGAGCGGCGCCGGGGAGCAGCAGCGGAGGCGAGTGCTCAGCACATGCACAAACGTTGGGCACCTGCCCGCCTGCTTGCCGAGGGCCCCGCCCCGCGACTTGCCTGGAACAGCCGCATCTCCTGGCACAGCCACGTCTCCTTGCAGCAGGCCACCCAGTCGGCAACCACCAGCCGCCAGTTCTCCTGCGGCTCCTCCACATCAAGCTCTACTTCCATCCCGCCCATCCCGCCCCAAAGCGACTGCCGCCGCCGGCTCGGCTAGCGGCCGGGCTGCTGCCTGAGGAGCAGGTAGCTCGCAAGTTGCAGGATTGATTCTGGAGTGGTTCGGTGTGGAGTTCTGCGGCAGGCACAGCGGTTTGTGAGCAGCAAAGAGCCCAGCCGCCGCTACGGCAGCAGTGGGAGCGCCGGCGGGCTGGCAGCCGGCACGGTGTCCACCTCGCAACCGCACCGCACCGTGTAAGACCTCGTGCAGCAGTTTCTCGTGCGCCCAAGGCCGCTGTGGGTAGGCCGCTGTGGGTGGGACTCGTGAGTGTAAACTTGGTGGCTGCGCGACTGTCTCGAGCGCTTTGGACGCAGAAAATGCAGTTGGCAAGCTCTCACGATCACATGCAACGACAATGCACGGCCGAGGCTGCACCGCTTGGGCGTTTGAGCCTGTCGTGCTGCGTGCTGGGCGGCTGAACCCTTGGCCCTGCATTCAGCTCCCTTTGCCATTCCTTTGCTTCTGTATTTCCACCCAGGATGTCGTGCGAGCCTTCGGCCGACTGGGCGGGCCTTACGCTTCCAGTCCTGCAGCAAATTCTGTCGCTGGGCGGCAGGCGGCCCCTGCAGCTGAAGGCATTCCTCAGGGAGGGCAGCACGGAATACCGGGATGCCACAGCCGCTCAGACGGACCTGCTCAACCGTAGCCTGGTGCGCCCCCGCCCCGCTGACCCGTGTGCCGCCTGCTAGGGGGTGCACCTTCCAGCAACCTCCCCCACCACCTTGCCTCTGGGTGCTGCATTCCCCGTGCTGGATGCAGGTCTGCCGGCGGTGGCGGGAGGCGGTGGGCGCCCTGTTGCAAGACGCCACATGGGCGGTGACCATTCAGCGAAGCTCCACTTACAGTAGGGTCCTAGCATCGTGGGCAGCCCAGAATCAAGCGCCTGCTGCCGCCCCGCCTGACGCCACCCGCCTGTGGGAGCGGGTGCACCGCCTGGCGGTTGAGCAGCTGGATGTGCGGCTGATGGCTTGGGCAGTGACACCCGGAAGCTTGGACAACACAGCAGCGCTGCTGCGCGACGGTGCCTTCCTGCGCCGCTCGGCGCCCGTGCTGCAGCAGGCGTTCGGCATCCCGGAGCGCCTGGTCGCCAACCTGGCGCCCTACGCCCGCCTGGAGCGCGTGGGCCTGTGCGAGGATTACCTCAGCACCAACGCCAAGCCGCACGGCAGGCCCATGCAGCTGGCGGCGCTGGCAGGGCTGCGGCGGCTGACCTTTCTGCAGCTGGAGCTGGGCATCGTGGAGCTGGCTGCGGTGCCGCCCCAGGTGACGGAGCTGGCGCTGGTGGAGGCGGACCGCATCCAGCTGCCGCCCGCGCCCGGCGCCGCCGTCACCGACCGCCTGCTGGCGGCGGCCGAGGCCCAGGGTGAGCGGAGGGCTCCTCCATGGAGGCATTTGTGGCCACAGCAAGGCAACAGCAACAGCAACAGCAACAACAACCCTGTAGGGGTTTGAGAGTGCATGCATCAATGCGTTGCATTTGCGGGATTCATGCCGGTCCCACACCATCGTTCTCCATCTCTGCCTTGCAGCCACCTTGCCTTGTGTCCCCCTTGCCTTGCGTCCCCCTTGCGTGCATCTTGTGCAGGCCTGGCGCGCCTCAGCCTCCAGGCCGGCTCCGGCAGCGTCGTGTTTGAGGAGGCCGACCACGCCCCGCTGGAGCTGGAGCTGTCGCATGTGGCCCGCCTGCTGGCAGAGCACAGCGGCGGCGGCGGCGGCGGCGGCGGCGCCTGCTGGCGAGTGGAGCTGGGCATGCGAAGGGACGATGTGGTGCGGGGGCTGGGCAGCCCCAGGCTGGAGCTGACTCGCATCGCCAGCTAGGGACCTTGCTCAGCAACGAGCCTCAACATGCAAGCGCCCAACCGCCCAGCGGCAGAAGGATGCAAGGGAGGGCACCAGGGAGGAGACTCGCGCCCCAGCTGAAGCCCTCCTCCTGTGGAGGCCCCCACCACCGGCGCCAGCGCAGCCTGCTCTGGCGCTCTGCTGGTGGTGCTGACTGGGACCGTCTGAGAGGCCAGGATGCGCAACTGCCAAGTGCTGGTAGCGATACATGCTGCTCTCATCTGGACTCACTTCTACACTTGCCATGTCACTCTAGACGAGAGGTCTCAAGCAGTGAGTGTAACTTGTGAGCGTCGCTAACCCATCAAAGAATCGCAGCTCATGTCCCGCTGGCCAGCTCCCCCTGACCCTCCCGGGGTGGTTAAGACCGTCGCTACTCAGCACCCCTGCTGAGTCCCAGCCAGGCCGCATGCTCTCACTCACTCCTCCTTGCGGGACGCCACGCCGGCGGTGCCCTTGCCCTGCGCCTTCTCGGTGCGTTCCATGTCGCCGTGCAGCTCCCGCTTCTTCACCCGCCCCGCCTCCACCTCGCGCGCCACCCTGCAGCGCGGAGAGTAGCAGGCGTGCTGGTCGGCATAGCCACGCTTCAGCTGGCAGGCAGCGTCAGCAGGGGAACGCAGCCCTGGCAGTCGAGCATGCATGTCACAACGGAAGCGGCGCTGCAGCAGCGCCGCATGGGCTGCCAGCCGCCCGCCTGTAGAACATGGTGCCGTCGATGAGGGCGCGGGCGTCGTCCTTGAGGAGCATCCGCCCCTGGGGCGTGTCCTGCGGGGCGCGGCGGCGGCAGCAGCAGGCGCAACCACATCATCGCAGGCGATCACACCACAGGATGGAGCGCGGGCGCTCTCCAGCAAACCGCCCCAGAGGCCCCTGCAGCCACCGCAGCAGCACTGCCAGAGTGTCCTACAGAGGCGTGCCCACTGCACCTACCTTGGCTGCGAGGTAGAAGGAGGTGTTCCACTCCAGCCATTCGGCGATCCAGCCCACCGGGTCCATGATGTTGCGGTTGCCGCGCACCTGCTCACAGGAAGGGTGAGGCCAGCAGGCGGATTCAAATACCTCGATGGGCCACCTGAATACATCTGACCCACCGCTCAGCGTTAGAAAGCTGGCCACCCCTGTGGAGACAACACGCAAGCGGGGGCTGGACCATGCTTGGCGGTTGGACACACCCCATGCCCTATCCCCACCATTACCACCGCAGCGCTCACCATCTCGTTCACATCGCTCAGGGTCAGGCCTCCCTTGTTGTCGGTGTCGTACTTGGAGAAGATCTCCTCAAACTGCGGGGCCAGGGCAGGATGGGGAGCAGGAAGGATGAGCAGGCAGGCGGGGGAGCGTGGGCCCCGGGGCACGCAGAGAACAGCGCTGAGAGGCAGGTAATGGGGGCTTCAGAGCAGGAGGCTGCTGCCGCCGCCAAGGCCGGGGCAGCCCTGCCCGCTGGCAGTCACCTTTTGCGGCACAAAGCGCCCCTCGGTGTCGTACGTCTCTGAGTCGCTGCCGTGCTTGGTCCTGCGGGACAGCCAGGCGGACAGGCACACGGGGCAAGGCAGGCAGCACCGTCAGTCAGGGGGCAACGGGCTTGCAGCGGGCCTCTGCGCCCGCCAGCCTGTGATGTGTCTGTGCTTGCACTGCGACGCGCCCAAAGCATCAACATGAGGGCAAGCCTCTGCTCCCAGCTCACTTGTGGATGTTCTTCATCTGCAGGCCAGGCCAGGCGGCACACGCAAGGGCACAGGGAAGACGTAGTCAAAATTCCATCTCTCCAGATGGCGGGCACCTTTGGTATCTCATGCTGGGAAGCAGCAGCAGCAGCGGCCTGCCGAGCGGCGCGGCCATGCCCTGGGATGTCTCGGCAGGCCAAGGCGCAGGGCCAGGGCACCGGCCTTGCAGGCGCTGTCGGCTCACGTGGATGCGCATCATGGGGTCTGGGATCCAGGAGGGCGAGGACCAGTAGGCGAATGTGCCATGGATGACGGGCACAGCCAGGGAGGAGACGAAGAGGTTGAAGCCCAGGCGCCTGCAGCGAGAGGGGCCGCAGCGCGGCCGGTTGCTTGTTGGCTCAACAGCAACAGGAAGGCAGGCTGGCAGCTGCGCTAGTGCGGCAACGGCTGGTTTTCCAGGGCTTGCACCATTTGCCCAGGGGTCCCTCACGGCAGGGCAGCATCCCCCTTTGCTGTGCTGCATGCGTGCGATTTCAGGCGTGAACTTGCCCTGCCTCGGGCTTGTGGCAGGCCCCCAGAGCCAGAGCCCCAGTCAACCCGCAACTCTTCTTGCACACCCCACCCAACCCCACCTGAAGCCGCGGAAGGTGTCCCCCGGCCAGATCACGCCGTCCCTGTCGGGGTCCCAGAACGCCACGTGCTGCTGCAGCCTGCAGGGCAGAGGAGCATGGACCGGCGCGGCACGGCACGGCGCGGCGGTGGGTGCCAGCCACATGGCACCGCAGCCTCCTGTTGCTTCATGCTGCAACGCAGGAGTGCACTGCACAGCACAACAAGTTGCTGCTCACACGCTCATGTCTGGCGGCTCATAGGTGCCGTCGGGGTGCTCCGCGTCGACGGTGAGGTTGGCACGCGGCAGGCCTGCGGGAGGAGGGGGGAGGCGAGCGGGCACCAGTGACGCCAGGGACGTCAGCGCGCCACACTTTGCGAGGCGAGGAAGAAGAGTGTGAGTGAAGGTTTCCTGGCATGTTTGTGAAGGTTTCCTGGCAGCCAAGGGGCAGCGACCGGCGAGCGCTCGCTGTACAGCCGTACCGCCAGGTCGGCCGATTGCGCCCCGCCCACCATCTGCAGCCCCTGCCAGGCCTTGTCGCCAGCCGGGCTCTCACCTGGCTGCGCCAGCTTGCTGTCGAGGTCCACGGGCACAGCGTGCTGCCTGGTGACTGGCACAGCATCGAGTTGGGTCACCACCTTGCCGCCGCCGCCGCGGGGCTTGGCAGGCGCCGGGTCGGCTCCAGGGCTGGCAGGGCGCACCATTCTGGCAGCTGGGCGCAGGTCTGCCAGAGCAGGTGGCAGGCGAGGGAGCTGGAAAACCAGCAGGCAGCACAGGTCAGAATGTGTGGGCAGCTGGGGACGAATGTGCTCAAGGGGCAGAAGCAGACGCGCATGCTCAGGAGCAGGCCGCCCAGAAGAAAGGTCGGCTGAGAACCCGTCCTTGTCACAGCCTTGGACGGCTCTCACAGGCAGCCTCTCTCCTCTTTAGCAGAGCAGAAGCACCAGCAGCCATGCAGGACGTCGAGAGGGAGCTGCCAGGCACGTAGGGTTTGGCTGGATGCCTGCCAGGAGGAGTGCAGCAAGCTCCTCTGCCGCCGTGCCCTGCGCTGCCCTGGGATGGCTGGTGTTGCAGCACCACTGCTTGCTGCGGCGCATCCCTGCCGACCGGCGCCTCGCCGACTCCCTCGCCGCCGGCCCTCCTCCTCGCGCCGCAGGCCTGATCACGGCGCTGCTCCAGTCGCCGGCGCACAAGCAGCGCGCGCTGGTGGAGCATCACTACACGCCAGACTGCCGGCTGACGCACGCGCTGGTGAGCTGCCGAGCCGCAACCGGCGCGGCAGCACCGCGGCACACCGCTGGGGGCGAGTGCCTCCCGCATGGCAGCCCTCGCCCAACCCCTGTGCCCGCCCCGACCCATCCTGCAAATCACAGGTGGTGGCCGAAAACCGCGAGGAGATTGTAGCGGTGTTCCAGGCCTGGCGCTACAGCAACCGCCGCCTGGATGCCGACGTGAACGAGATTGGTGAGCTGCTAGCTGTGGCCTGCCCGGCTGGCTGCTGTCGCTGCCCAGCTGCTGCCGCCCAGCGCTGGCTGCCCTTGCTGGCTCCTTGCCTGGTAAGGTGGCTGTCATCCCGGGGTGCCACCCGAGATGGATGGGGCAGCCCTGTGGGCTTCACAGGTGCGCTCGCTGCCCACCCCGCCGCGCCGCGCCGCCCGCAGTGGTCAACCGAGGCAGTACGCGGGCGTACTGCTCGCTCACGCAGCACGTGAAGCCCCGCTGGTGGCCGCTGCGGGCCTTCTCCTGGCCCGCGGTCGTTGTGCTGGACCTTTCTTACAGCCGCGGGCCCGGCGGGCTCAAGCTGATATCCCGGCAGGAGGTTCTGATCGGCCCCGGAGCGCTGCTGCGCCCTCTGCCGCTGCTGGGCGCGGCCTACGAGGTCCTGGCCCGCAGGGCGGCTGCCCTGGGCATCTGTGCCGGCGTGTGGGCCGCCGGGCGCCTGTACCGTGGCGCGTTGGCGGCGTATGAGGCGCTGGTGGTGGCGGTGGGCGGGGATGCGGGGCCGCCGCCTGAGCTGGAGAACGGGCCGCGCAAGCCCGCCCCAACGCCGCACGTGCGCCAGAAGCCCAGCCCCAGGGCCGCAGCAGCCAGCTTGCCACCTGGGTATGCTCACGCCTGAGCAGCGCGGGCATGCCCTGCACATCTGTGCTAGCCGTTCATCCAGCCACCGGCTTCCCAAGCCACACCATGCACAGCGCAAGTTCTGGATTGCGCAGGCCACTCATGATTGTAATTTCTTTGAGCGATTTTGAGGGACAGGAACTTCGTTAACGCGTCAGCAAGTTGTCAACCAGTTAAAGGTAAAGGTGGGGAAGAGCCTCCACAAGCTTCACTTCCCGGTTTTAACGTCTAGCTTTAGACCATTATTTGATCTGCCCGACGCGCCAAGTGCAGTACCCCCCACTAGTAGTGAATGGGTCCCGGGGAGGCCTGTGCCGAAGCCTTGGCGATTCTATTAGGCGTTCCCGAAGGAATTGGCTTGGATTGGCGCTGAGCCGGTCAGCTATGCCGCGTTTGTCCTCACAAAGTTTCGACATGGGAGGAATCGAACCTGTGCCCTCTCGGAGGGTTTAGACACTAGCTCCAGCGCCTTCAAAGAAGGCCTTTCTTAGCCGCGGCCTAAAAGTTAGACAGACAGGCGCCCAGCATATTGTAAGCCAGCTCCCCTGTCCAACATGCCGCCTTCACGCCGCTCCTGCCTGCAGTGCTGGACAAGTCTGGCAACAAGGTCTGGGTGCAGGCAAGCAAGCTGCATCTGCTGCTCATTGTTGAGTCTGCCCACCTCCGGCATCCACCCACCCTGCCCCGTGCCCCGCCGCCCTGCCCGTTCCGCCCTGCAGCTGGTCCAGCACGTGACCGGCTACCAGCACTACACAGCACCCCCGCTCTTTGGATTCTCCCTGCCCATGAGCGTGCTGATGTACCTCCGGGACGGTCCCGGCGGCACCAAGCTGATCGGCAAGCAGGCGGGTTGGTTGCTTGCACCAGGAAACGGATGGTGACGGTCAGGAAATTTGGGATGCCAGTCATGTGCTGCCTGCTGGTCGGCGCTCTGCCTCGTGGTCGGCCCTCCCATGCTGTGCATGAAGCGCTGTGCCCATGCTGTGCAGGTAGACTACCACAGCTTCGAAGGCATCCTGTACTGCACCCCCGCCATCGGCTGGGCCCTGCAGCACCTGCTGCGGCGCAGCATCAGCGCCGCCCTCATCGGCAGCGCCCGGCTGGGGGCCCGGGTGTGGCCGCCACTGGAGGGCTGGCTGTGCCGCACGCTGCCTGGCGGCGAAGCACAGGTGTACGGGCTCAAGGCCTGGGCCGCACGGCTGTGGTGGCGGCAGGAGCCACCCGTGGCGTGGCGCAAGGTGCCCGCTCCCTACGACCCACGCCTCTGAGCTGGCTGAGGAGAGCAAGGGCCATCAGCCCTGCCCAGCAGATGGCAGATGGGCGTGGCAAGATGGACAGGATTCAGCACGCAGATTCATTCTTCAGCAACAGGAAATCGAGCGGAGATGCAAAGCAGAAAGAACACAAGTGCAAACAGATTGGTTCATGAAAGAAACTGAAAAGCAACAAAGCAACACCCCTGCTAAGGAGGTGCTCAACCTCTGCCACCACCGCGCTGGCAACCATTCTTTTCCTTTCACCCGTTCCTCCTATCTAGTCCCGCGGCAGCTGGGCGGTGTCATGGCCCATCGAGTCCAGCATGCGCTTGTAGTCAAAGTCGGCCTGGCGGTGGTTGAAGGCATGCACAAAGCTGTACTTCTGGTCCTGGGTGTAAAAGTCGTGCAGCAGGCGCGTGAGCTGCTCCGCCTGCATGCAGGTTCCCAGGGCGCAGGATGGGATGGGGGTGGAAGGCTGGTTGACCGGGGCTGGAACCACGGTACTGGCAGAATTCTGGAGCAGCGGTTGAGACCAAGCTCAGATTTGGCGCGGCGGACCACCGACTGCGCTGTGGTTGCTGCCGGGCGCCAGCTGTGCATGGCGGCACTAACCCACCTCCCCCCGCGAGCAGATGGTGGGCTGGAGGATGTCGCCCCGCACCAGCACTATGTTCTTGTCGCTCATCAGCTCGGTGTAGTGGGTGAGGACCATGTGGGGCTGCGCAGAGGGGCCCCGCCTGCGGGGGACAACGCGGCAGGCGAGGCTTGTGTGGGTCTTACAGCTTCTGTACCTGGGAGCGCTGTACCTGCTTGAGAAGCACTGGCCAAGCGGCCGGGCAGAAGGGGGAGTGGGGGGAGGGGGCCGCGGCAAGCCATGGCTGTCAAACCACTCACTGCTTGTACTCCTCTAGCGTTGTGAACAGCACCAGCGGCAGCTGGCACTGCACCATGAAGTTTTCGAAGGCGTTGGGGCCCTTGAACACCGGCAGCACGAATATGGGGCTGCAGGGGGGAGGTGGAGGGAGAAAGAAGGAGTTGCCGGATGGCAAGGTGAGGAGGCGAGGAGAGAGGGGGAAGCAGCGGAGGTGGAGCAGCCGCTGGCGGGCGGCCCAGCGGCCAGCGGCACATCGGCAGGAAACCAATTGCAGGTACAGCAGCAGGGCAGGCAGACATGCACGTGTCCACCAGCATCATATGCTCGCGCTCACACAGCTATGGATCTGGCATCCACCGTCCCGCCCACCACCACCCGCCTCCCCACCTCTGCGCCGCATTCTCCTGGAACTTCAAGTAGCGAGGCGCCGTCAGCCCCGTGGCAATGCGGTTCTTGGCGGGGTCGGCATGGAACTGCGGGGATGGGGATGGCAGCCGGGGAGGTAGGGAGGAGGGCAGTGAGTGAAAAACGCAGGTGGTAGGCGGCGAACGGCGTGGTGACGCACCCAGCTATGGGCCCGCGCGCCAGCAGCTGTGCGTCCTCGGAACCGCACGGGGCGTGCAGCAGCACCTTCAAGAACAAGCAGGGGGGCAGGGCTGCAGGCCCAGGCAGCAGGCCGCACCTCCATCCAGATGTCGCGCACCGCCTCGGCGCCGTGTGGCTCCATCCGCTGCCGGTTGACCACATCCCACAGGTTCTTGCTGGAGGGCAGGCTGGATCCTATGGAATGCCCTCTCTGCTGCACGTAGAGCTGCCACAGCGACTGTGCCGCCTTGCTGCCGCCCCTGGCGGCTTGCATGGGGTTGGGAGCCTGCGCGGGGGGCGGGCCAGCGGGCTGGGAGGGCGGCGAGAGGCACAGATGTGCTGCGGCAGCCGTGAGAGGACGTGAATTGCCGCAAGTGGCGCGGGTTGGACATCCCTGCGATGCCTGCTCCGCGCCCCTGCGAATGGGCAGCTGTTGAAGTGCGCCTGTCAGCCAGCCCCGCTTCCTGAATTGACCGTGGCGGCCTTGTTCGCCGAAACGGGGGTCTCTGGCGCAGCGCTGCCAGTCCTCTTCAAGCGGTTACTGGCTGGCCACCGCGGCCCGGCGGAGCCCGTGAATTAGCTCTCGGAGGGACGCGTCGGCGGCATCATGTCGGCGCCAAACTCGGCGCGCTACTCCATGAGTGGCACCGCCAGCCGCTCGCCGACCAAGCCGGGCGGCGGCGGCAGCCGTCGCCTCACCACCCTGGACACAGCCACCTCGGCCGGCAGCCGGCGGCCGTCCTCTGGAGAGCTCAGGCCTGACGGTATGTGGGATTGAGAAGGGAGGCGCAGGCGAGCCGTGGAGGCAGGGAGAGCAGAGCATGCCGGGAGGCATGCACACGCAGCGACGTTGCAGCCACAATCGTGCTTTGTGCCCTGGCCTGCAGAGCGAGTCAAGGTGTTTGTGCGCATCCGCCCCACCAAGGCGGAGGGCGAGACGGCGGGGGCGGTCAAGGTCAAGACTGACGGCAAGGGGCTGGTCATCTTCAGAGAGTGAGCTTGCCCGGAGGGAGCACATGCCTCGGGCCGCTGCCGCACGTCGCTGCTCTCATTCTCCACAAGGAGTGCAGCAGCAACCGCGCATGTGCTGCGACCACTGCTCGACAGCCTTGCCCTGCACCTTTTGTGCAGGCACGCCAACATCCCTTCCTCAGAGTTTGAGTTTGACCGAGTGTTGGGGCCCAGCGCCAGCCAGAGCGACGTCTACCATGCCGCCGTGAAGCCGATTGTGGAGGACGTGCTGAATGGGTGAGACTGGGTCGGCAGGCGGGGCCTGGCGGAGCCTTGCCAGGCGGGTACGATCAGGCAGCATGCCACGCCAGTGCCCCCCATGTCCGCTGCTCAGCCTGTGATTTCCAGCACACCCACCAGCCTCCATACCCCCAACCGCGCGCCCACCCCCGCAGCTACAACGGCACGCTGATGGCGTACGGCCAGACAGGCGCGGGCAAGACCTACTCGCTGAGCAGCATTGCGGCGGACGCCATCGGCATGATCCCGCGCGCCGCCGCCGAGGTCTTCTCCCACGTGGAGCAGGACCAGGGGCACGAGTACACGGTGTACATGTCGTATGTGCAGCTCTACATGGAGCTCATCCAGGTGGGGACCTGGCCTGGTGTGGGGGCCTTGGCGGGGTTTCGCGGCGGTGTGTGTTTGCGGTGGTGGTTTGTGTGTGTCGATGTTGTGGTGGTGCGCTGTTGCGTGTTTCGTGCACACAGTGTTGTGTGAACTGTACGGGGCTGTGCCTGCCCGCCTCCCTTCCTAGCTTGGCCGCTCCCCTTGCTTCGTCACCCTCCCACTCCTGCCCGCTGCCCCTGCCTCCGCCCTCCAACCTCCGCGTAGGACCTGCTGCGCCCCGAGAGCGAGAACCTTCAGATCCGGGAGAACGAGGGCGGCGTGTTTGTGTCGGGTGTGCACCAGCAGGAGGTGCAGAACATCACGCAGTGCCTGCACCTGCTGCACCTGGGCGACCGCAACCGCACCACCGCCTTCACCGCGCTCAACGCCCACTCCAGCCGCTCCCACGCTGTGGTCATGCTGACCGTCATCAAGCGGCGGTCGGTGTCGGGGACGGGGGAGGCCGAGATCCAGCGTGTCAAGGTGGGCTGGCTGCCGTGAGGCTGGCTGTGGGTAGTGGGCTGGGTGGCCTTGGTAGCATGGTAGATTGGCCGCCCAGCCGTGGCTCTGCTTCCTTCCTTGTGGCTGGGTTCTGGGGCAGAGGCAGGCTTGTCCCCACCCAGCCCTCCCACTCCCCCCCTTCCTTTCCCACCCTACCCTTACCGTGGGGCAGGTGGGCAAGCTGTTCCTGGTTGACCTGGCGGGCAGCGAGCGGCTGAAGAAGAGCAAGTCCACGGGGCTGCGTGCCAGCGAGGCCAAGTCCATCAACCTCTCCCTCACCACGCTGGGCATGTGCATCAACGCGCGGGCCGACCCCGCAGCCACCCACGTCCCCTTCCGCGACTCCAAGCTCACCCGCCTGCTCCAGGTGCGCCAAACTGTGTGTTGGGCAGCAGAAGGGTCGGACGCAGTAGGCAGCCCAGCGCCAGCGCCATCACGGCAGCAGCAGGATGGCGTGAGCGGCTGCTGTAATGTGGCACGTAAGGGCTTACAGCGTCAGGAGGTGCCGGCCAGAACGTTGATGTAGGCCGCTCTGAGCTTCCGCCGCCGCTCCGTGTGTGGCCCCCTGCGTGTGTTCCGCAGGACTCCCTGGGCGGCAACGCCAAGACCAGCCTGCTGGTGGCGGCCTGCGATGCGGCGGAGCATGTCGTCGAGACGCTGCAGAGCCTGCAGTTTGGGCTGCGCGCCATGTGTGTGCGCACGCAGGTGAGACTTCAGGGCTGCATGTGGTTTGCGGCGGCTCGCAGCGATACCATGCATGCTGGGGTGGGTTGCCCTGTCGTTTACATAGCAGATATACCATACGCCGACCCACCTACTCACCAGCCCTTGCCCTTCCAGCCCATCCATGCCCAGGCAGTCACCCTCTAAAGCACTTAGCCCCTTAGCGCTTCACCTCCCTGCCCTGTCGCAGGCTGTGGTCAACGAGCGCGTCAACTACCACACCCTGCACGCCGAGATGATTGCCGCGCTGGAGACTCAGGACCGCAAGTCCAGCCTGCTGGAGGCGAGCCTGCTGGAGAAGGATGCGCAGCTGGAGGCGGTGCAGGCGCTGCTGCAGGTGTGCAGCAGGGGGAGCGGGGGCGGGTAGGTCGGTGGCTGGATGGCTGGGCTGCCGATCTCAAAGATGTGGTAGTGAAGCGCCGGTACCGTGCTGGTGCGTTGGGAGCATCCGTGTTCTTCCTGCCCTGCTCATCCCCTGCCCGCCTGCTCGCCTGATGTCTCCCTGGTGTTTCCTTGGTGCAGCAAGAACAGCAGGAGGCGGTGCGCAAAGTGGAGCAGCTTCAGCGGGAGCGTGAAATGCTTGAGGAGGAGCGGCGGCGGCAGCTGGCTGAGCAGCAGGCGGCGCTTGAGGCGGAGCAGCAGCACAAGGCGCAGCTGATGCAGCGGCTGGAGGCTAGCAGCGCCGAGGCGCAGGGGCTGGCTGCCCAGCACGAGCAGCAGCGGCAGCAGCTGCTGCAGCAGGTGGCGGCGCACCAGCAGCAGGCGGCCGAGGCGGCTGCGGCAGCCGCTGCAGCTGCGGAGCAGCACGCCGCGGCGCTTGATGCGCAGCGCCGGGCGCATGCCGAAGAGCTGGCCGCCGCAGCCGCGCAGCGTGAGGAGGCTGATGCGGCGGCGGCGGCGGAGCATGCCGGGGTGCTTGCGGCGGTTCGTGCTGAGCTGGCGCAGACGCAGCAGCTGTTGCGGGGCTCGCGCGAGGAGGCTCGCATCCTCAGCGAGCACCATGAGCAGCAGCTGAAGGAGGTGGAGGTGAGACGGGGTGGTGCTGGCCTGGGTGCCTGTGCTGCTCTGTGGGGGAGTGGCTGGATGCAGATGTGTTGGGGACCCCAAAGATCTGCGCCAATAGGGAGGTGGCATGGCCGCATTTGGCATGCTCTGCCCCGCCAATCTGCTTGCTTTCCCCTTTTGCCGCAGGAGGAGTGGGCCTCCAAGCTGCAGGCAGCCGAGCAGGCAGGGCAGCGCCAGGTGGCGGCGGTACAGGCCACAGTGGCGACGCGGGATGGCACCATCGCCGAGTTGCGGGCGGATGTGCAGAGCCGGGATGAGCACGTGGCTCAGCTGGGCGAGCTGGTTGCCAGGCTGGAGGCGGGCAGGGCTGAGCTGGCGCGCCAGCTGGCGGCGCTGCAGGGCGAGCTGCTGGAGGCAGGGCGGCAGCGGCGCGGGCTGGAGGCCGCCCTGGGCGAGGAGCGCGAGGTGGTGGCCGAGCTTCAGACGCAGGTGTGTAGGGTGTTCTGTGTGTGTGTGTGTGTGTGTATGTACACTGGCGAGGGACCTGCTGCTTGGTTGGTTGGTTTGTCAAGGTCATGACGACCCTTCTCTCTCAGATGCAGTGCCTGCCTGGCCCTAGCCGCATCGCGCCCCACCAAACACTTCCATCTACCCACTCCCCACCTACCCTCCCGTGCAGGTGGAGGGCTACGAGCGGTCCCGCATGGCACTAGCCAAGTCCTTCTTCGAGAACAAGCGCAGCTCTGACGCCGCCAAGGTCATCCAGCGCCACTGGCGCGAGCACCGCATGCACCGCATGCGCCAGCAGCAGACCGAGGGTTACCAGGTGCGCATGCGAGCGGGTGCGGGCGTGTGTCCGGGGGGTGGCATGGCAGCTCGCGCAGGTGGCTGGCTGGTTGACGGCTTCACCACACCACACACACACGCACGCCTCCCCCTGCCTCTCCTCCAGGCCCTGACCAACGCCAAGGCCATGCTGGGCACTCTGGCCCAGCAGCACGCCGACCTGGAGCAGCGGCGCCGAGCCAACCTGGCCTTCTCGGGGCAGACGCTGGTGGGGGACAACCTGGATGTGCTGCAGGATGCGGTGGAGTCCATCATCGCAGCCTTCCTGCTGCCCGCGCGGGTGAGCATGGGGTGTGTGGGTGCCCTGGGGCAGGAGCCGAGCGGGGAAGCTGATGGGGCGGGTGGCCAGTGCGGCTGGCAGCGCAGGTGGTGGGAGGGCAGCAGGCGACACGGCACGACACGATTGCCCGGGCCAGCGGTGCGGTGCACAACGCCTCCAGGTGGCGCCTGCCCATCCCTCTTCCCCCTCTCATGCCTGCCTGCCTGCCCATTCCTCTCACCTGCCCACCTGCCTGCCTGCCTACCTGCCCGCTCTGCAGGACCTGCGCACCATCCAGCGGTACCAGCAGAAGGTGTCTGGCTACTCGGCGGCGCCCTCGGCCCGCCAGAGCACCGCCTACCCGCCCGCCTCGGGGCCCAGCGGCCCCGGCGGCCTGTCCCGAGCCAGCACCGGCGGGCGGGACGACCTCATCAAGGCTGCTGTGTACCCTCTGGCGGACAGCCTGCCAGGGTCAGCCCGCAGCACACCTCGGGAGATGGGGGGCAGCGATGGGCCGCCGGCGGGCGCGGCGCAGTACGCGCAGCAGTGCACAGCGGCGCAGCAGCAGCAGCAGTACGGCGTGGGGCCGCTGTCACGCGCGCCCAGCTCCGCAGCGCTGCACCAGCAGCCGCAGCAGCAGCAGGCGCAGTACCAGCAGGCAGCGGCACAGCAGCAGCACCAGGGCGGTGTGGCGCACGCCCCGCTGCTACGGGAGGGTAGCCTGCGTGGCGGCCTGGCCAACCTGGCGGGCAAGGTGCTGAACTCACCCATTGACCGCCTGCGCCGCCTCTCCTCCGGCCACTACCACCAGCAGCAGCAGCAGCAGGCGCCGCAGCCGCAGCGCCACTACTACTGAGACACCAGTCCAGCCGCCAGCTGGGCACCTGCCTGCCCAACTGCTTTGTGGCTGTTGCAAGCTTATTCTTCCCTATTCTCTGACCTGCTGAATGATTTGGTGACATGCTCTACTCTTCTGCCCCACTGTTAACCCTATCCGGCCAGTTCCCGGCAGCCCCCGTGCAAGCTGTCCTTAACCCCTGGCAGCCCACCAGCAAGCTGAGCGTGTGTTACAGTGATTCTAAGCGGGGAAAATGCGGGTGGTTTCTGCGGGGAGAAAAGCGGCATGGAATTCGGGCGGCGCCGGCGGGAGCCTCGTGCCGGCGGCGCCTGATCGGGGCCTCGAGGGGGGCTGCCGAAAGCAGGCATATGGTGGTGGTGGTGATGCTGCCCTTCGCCTGGCTCTCGTCAAACCACTTGTTCAGGTACGCCAGGGCAGACTGCTCCACCACAATGCGGTCGGCATTCAGCACATCGTAGACCTGCGGTGCGCGGGAATGGGGCGTGTGTGTGTGCGTGTGTGTGGTGTGGTGGCAGCAGGGTAAGCAGGGCCAACAATGGCTGCAGCCAGGGCTCAAGTGCCGCACCAACAGCATACCTGCAGCCTCCACCACAAGCAGCAGCGAAGGCACACGATGCGCTCTCCAGTACGGTGCGTGCCTGACCAGCCGCATCTGGTGCACCTCGGCCCATCCTGCCCTCCCACACCGCTACCCCAACCGCCCCCGCTCGCACCTGCACCTTCCGCCTTGCCAGCCTTGGACCAAGCACTTAAGACCACGCCTTGCCTGTGCCTTGGAGACCGTAGCGACGGCCGCTCCCGCCAGCACCAGCCCAGCCGCCCGCAGCAGCAGAGGTGACCATGCCTGCAGCATGGCGGGACAGGCAGCATGGCTGTCAGTGCTTCTCCAGCAGTGTGCCCACGGCCACAGTCCGCGAGTCTCAGGTTGGAGTATGTGCTTGCCTGCTCGCGGCGCGGCGCGGGCCACGCTCCCGCTGCTGACCAAGTGGATCATGCCGAGGGGACGCAACGAGATGGCGGCCATCTCGCGTGAAGCCAAAAACAGTTTCACGGTCTACGAATGATCAGGAAACAAGGAGTACCGATGACGAATATAATGCGGATGTTTTGGCTTCTAAATGAACACAAGAGAGGCGTTGAAATAGAAGTACTTCCTTCTCGACGCGGTACGCCAGACTCCAGTTTGCGAGCATTGCCCTGCTTGCCCTGCGCAGCTTGTTCTTCATCGACATGCGTCAGCTGGACCAAGGCCGGCGGGCGCTGCTGCGCTACCTGCTGCAGGTTTGTGGTGGTTCGCGGCCATGTTAAGCCAGGCTGAGGGATCTGGTGGTAGAAAGGTTTAGTGTGTGTCCAGTGCAGTGTACTGTGCTGCCCTGGGCGAGGAGAGGAGGGTAACGACCCCCACCCACCCGCCGCTGATCACCAGCCCCGCCTCTCTTTGCCGCTGCCGCCCGCAGGACCTGCAATTCCGCGGCAGGGACGTGCTGCTGCCCGTGGGCTGCTCTGACTTTGACGAGTGGCTGCTGGATGCGCTGATTGTGGAGAGGCTGCTGAAGCAGCTCAAGTATGGGGCACCTGCATCTCCACGTCGCTGCCGCCCGCAAGGACTGCCTATCCACCCAGCCCCGCGGCACCACCACTGGGGGAGAGGATGGCGGCATAGTGGACTTCAGGACGCTCATATCAGGCGACGCCACGCCATCTGCGGTGGCGGCAGCCGCCGACGCGGCGGTGGCTGCCAAGCAGGACTGCCACCTGCCGCAGCTGCGCCTCAAGTCGCTGCAAGTCGGTGGGTACAGTGCCAGGCTGCTGTGGTGGAGCAGGCAGCGGTGGAGCAGGCATGCCTCGCCGTGCCTGGGCTATCAGTGCACTGCCGCTGCCGCGGGTCCCGTCAGGCAAGCCTGGTTCCGGTGGCGGGTGCCCTGCCGACTCCCTTTGCTGCTTCTCCAAGCCATGCAGGCCTGCAGGAGTACCAGCTCAAGGAGCTGGCCTAGGCCATTTTCCTGTCCTGCGCCTCCGCCCAGGCCTCGCCTGGCCTGCTGGCTGACCTGCGTGCCAGCCTGGAGCTGAACGAAACGGAGCTTCAGCGCATCACCCTGCTGGTGGGCCAGCACGGCATCACCTCTCTGGCCTCCCTGGAGATGTACATCAGGCTGCTGCAGGTGTGTGGCAGTGGCGGTGTGTGGTGGGGGGTTGAGGAGCTGAGGGGCGTGGGTGGGCGGCAGTGGTGGACGCGTGCGGCTGCAACGCGTGCGGCTGGCGATGCCGGCCTGGGGCCTGTGTGCCATGGCGAGCGCCGCGTGGCAGGCGTGCCGCCTTGCTGGCTTGCTCATGGCAGACGAGCTGCATGCGTGGCTGGTCATCCCGACCCTGCGTGCCACCTGCTCATCGGCCGCCTGGGCTGCCGCCTGGGCTGCCGCCTGGGCTGGCGCGGCGCTGCAGGCTGGGCTGGCGCCGTGCTGCAACACAGGCCGTGGCAAGGTCTGGAGCCTGCGCTGTTGCCACTGGCCCGCCTGCGTGCGTGCAGGTCACGGTGTGGCACCCGCTGCAGATCACGCCCGACGTCCACAACGCCGTCTTTGCCTGGGTCCACTTTCGCCAGGTGGGCTGCGGCAGATGGGCCCCATGCCGCGGCCTACAGAGCTGCCAGTGGTGGTTTGCGCGCTTGCCGCACGTGGATGGCTTGGGCTATAGGCCTGGCTGGCACGCCTTCCCATGCCCCACTGCCTGCCCGCGCATGCTGTGGTGTGGCGGGGTCCCAGGGCTCCAGGGGGTCCCAGGCCTTGCGGGTGCGGTGCAGCGTGTGCAGTGCACCCCACCACGCCTCGCCCCGCCCGCCCGCACCCAGCGCACCCAGCACTCTGCACACGCCGGCATGTGCTGCCTGCTTTGTCGTCGCCAGCTGCACTCAATAGGCGCCCCTCCACCCAAAGTGGCACCCCGCCGCTGTGCCTGCCTGCTGCCCCCCACACCTCGCCCTGCCCTGCCCTGCCCTGCCCCCACATGGCTCCAGATGGTGCCCTACAAGATCGTGCGCGCCGCCGACGGCGACGCGTGGGTGGAGGCGGGCGGGCAGCGCTACAGCCCCTCCCAGATGGGCGCCTTTGTGCTGATGAAGATGAAGGAGACGGCTGAGCGGTACCTGGGGCGCCCCGTCAGCGATCATCATCATCAAGGCCGTCATCACCGTGCCCGCATACTTTAGTGCCCGCATACTTTAGTGACCATCAGCGCCAGGGCACCAAGGTGTGTGTGTGTTGTGGCGATGGCGGTGTCGGTGTGTGCGTGTGGTGTGTGGGTTGGGTGAAAGGGGATGAGGAGTGGACAGGCAGGGCTCGGCGGAGAGGAGTCGGGCAGATGCGGGGAGAGTGGGGCAGGCAGTTTTCATTTCCATTGGACGTTTGCATGGTGGCCAGTCCCATCCACGCCGCCCCTGGCCCCGCTGCTTGCCTCCCCCACCCTGCCTTGCAGGACGCGGGGCGCATCGCGGGCCTGGAAGTGCTGCACATCATCAACGAGCCCACGGCGGCGGCGCTGTGCTACGGCAGCGACAAGAAGGAGGGGCTGGTGGCTGTGTACGACCTGGGCACCTTTGACATCTCCAACGTGGAGATCAGCGGCGGCGTGTTCGATGTGGGGCCCGGCTGGCTGGCTGGCTTAGGGTGGGGCGCCGCTGGCTGGCTGGCTGAATGGCGGAGGGCGGTGTGTGTGCTTGGTGACTGCCATGCGCTGTGGCTGGACTGGGCGCTGGCAGGTTGGGCCACCGTGCCGTCGCCGAGGCTGCGGCGTGACCGCGCCATGGCATGGCTGCTGCGGCAGCCCCGCTCCCTTGCTTGCCCTCACCTCGCCTCCCCTCTCCCTCCCCTCTTGACCTGCCTTCCCTCCCTGGCACCTCCACCCTGCAGGTCAAGGCCACCAACGGCAACACCTTCCTGGGCAGTGAACAACACCCTGCTGCAGCACATGGTGTCGGAGTTCAAGAAGGCAGTGCTGAGCACGCCTGGGGGCGCTCCGGCCTCCCTCCCCAGCCCCTCCCCACTCACCCTTCCACCTCTGCCTCCACCCCCACAGGGCATCGACCTCACCAAGGACAAACTGGCGGTGCAGCGGCTGCGCGAGGCGGCGGAGAAGGCCAAGTGCGAGCTGTCCAGGTGGGGGGCAGCTTGGGTGGCTCGCTGCCTGGCCTGTGCCTTCTGTGCTGTGCCGTTCCAGCCCTGTGCCAGCCAGGCTGGGTGGTCTGCACCAGCGCGGGCAGGGATCCAGAGCTTCACGGCACATTGCTTTGCTCCACACTGCCCTTTGTCTGCCCTGTCTGGTGCACCGAGCCACCGCAGCATGAGGCAGACCGATGGCAACCTGCCCTTCATCACCGCCGATGCCTCGGGCGCCAAGCACCTGCAGATGAACATCGCCCGATGGGTGTTAGTTCCTGTTGGGGTGGCTTCCGCTGAGCTGCGGTCTGCGATGCGCTGGGGCGGATGCAGCAGTGCTCGACGGCGGCATACAGGGCTCCCCGCCTCATCACCGATGTAGCACGCACGACTCTGCGCCTGCGGCCAGCTGCCCGCTGCCTGCTGCATCTGGCCTCCCGCCCGTCCGCCAGCCCCTTTCAAATGCCCAAACCCGCGAACTGCGGTGACCCGCCCTCCCTCTCCCGCCTCCCTCTGTTGCCGCAGCTCCAAGTTTGAGCAGCTGGTCGAGTCGCTGCTGGACCGCACGGTGCAGCCGTGCCTGAGCTGCATGAAGGACTGCGGGGGTGCAGCCCGCCGACATCCAGGAGGTGCTCATGGTGGGGGGCATGTCCTTGGTGAGCTAGATTTTCAGATGGGGTTGATGCCCGAGTGGTTGGCCGGGCATCTGGATCTGTGTTGGCGGCCCAATTGGGCTGCTCATGCACACTCTGCCTGCCTGCCTGCCTGCCTGCCTGCCTGCCTGCCTGCCTGCTGCCTTGCCTGGCTAGCTTTCTGCCTAGCTGGGCGGCTTCTGTCGGCGTGACGCTACCCTGCCCCCGGTTCGCTGCACCCCAGGTGCACGAGATGGTGCGGGACATCTTCAAGAATGAGCCCAACAGGTCGATGAACCCCGATGAGGTACGGCAGTACTGCATGCAGTACAACATGCAGTACAGTGCACCTGCAGCGCGGCAGCTGCGCCTGCAAGTTCGACAGGAACGAGTGCATGCCGTGGATCGCCAATTGGGCTAGAAGGGGCAACGCGCCCTGCCGGTGGCATGTGCCTCTTCGCCGCGACGCTCACCGCCCGCCAGCCGCCCGCCGCCGCTGCGCACCGCCCATAATTTCTGCGGTGCACAGCAGCACGCGGCGTGGCCCAGCCGCGGCACGCCTCCACAGATCCCAACGCCTTGCATGCTTCGCCCCCCCCCCCCCCCCAAA